ATGAGTACAAAAAGTCAAGAATATTTCTTCAAATATTGATTGAAATTGGCTGATATCAAATACATGAGCTTCCTTCCTTCTCTCCTCTTCTCTTTTCGTCTCTTTTGCATCTCTGTTGCCTGCCTGAATCCATTAAAGCTATCTCTTTGGCTTTCCAAAGAGGAATTTTCCAGGAATATTCTGAAAATGTATCTGATTATTAACCAGATATTATTTTATAATCGTTAGATTCTTCTAATTCCAATCACAGTTGGGCAGTTTTATTAGTCTCCTAGGCAAATCAAAGAGACTTTTTCTAATAGAAAATTGGTCATTGGTACTCAGTCCTGAAATCCTGGTTCCTTACTTGGGGCTGTTTGATGTTGGAACAAGAGGTTAAGAGAAACTGTGGAATGAGTTTTACTCTATTTCAGATAGAAAAGCAATGCTAAAGAACTAAAATATCTGAAGACATTATGAAATGATTGGATAATATAATCAGTAAGCAGAATAAACATTTAAAGTGGTGGAAATATTAATTGATAATTTTGATAGATTGATTAATATGATTTAGCACTTTTTAAAGGAGCTCTGGTGGCGGAGTGGATAAGACATTTGGCTGCTAAGCAGGAGCTCAGTGTTTCATGCCCACCAGCGGCTCCTTGGAAGGAGGACGGTGATTTACTTCCATAAAGATCTACAGCCCTGGAAACTCAATGAGGGCCCTTGTGAGTCAGATTCGACTCGATGATAGTGAGTTTGGTTTTTGGTGTTTTTTAGTACTTTACTTGACTAAAAAACATTAGTCTTTTCTGGCTGAAAGAGTCCATGCAGACTGCACTTTCTCATTTACCAAGGAGGAACTAGCTACCCGTAGAGTGATAGTAATAGTACCTACCTGTGTGATAGGTACTACTATTGTCATCGTTTTACAAATAAGACCCGGAGAGTTATATAACTTAATTAAGATTATTCAATAGTAAAGTGATGGACGGTTCACATAAACCACCTTTTTTTCTGCTTAAGTGCTCTTCCAAAAACAAAACAAAACAAAACAAAAAACCCACTGCCTTGGAGCAGATTCCTACTCACAGCAACCCCCATTGTGTTTCCAAGGCAGTAAATCTTCAGGGAATTAAAAGCCTGCCTTCTGGTGGGTGCAGTTGCCAAGTACTTTTTACTTGTTGAAAATTTTTACTTGTTTTACTTTGTATTTGTTTTACTTTCTACGTGTTGAAAATTAGTCTTGTTTCCTAAGAAAATATTTCTAATTTCTATGAGGCTAAGCAATCAAAAATATCCCTGAAAATCAAGGGGTGTGGGATTTTTTTTTTTTTTTTTTAATTCTTTGCTTTCTTTAGAGGGCATAGTAAGGCAGAGTGAGTAACAATGTCCTGAATATCTCTGTCAGGATGCTTTGATACAGATTTTCTTCATGAACTTGGTGCGCAATGAAAATTACGATTTCAGGCAATCAGAAACTTTACATGGGCTGATGCTTGAGTTTAATACATAAATATTGGAAGCTATTAACCATTTCTGTAGCACATCCTAGTACTAACAATACTTTCTGATCTTTTACACATTTACTATTTCCTTACATAAAAATTATACTGAGTCAGGGTTGGTCCAGCAATACAAGGAATCAAAAAAGAGGAAATTATAAATATGAATCCTCAATGGTAACAGTTAAGTTTAAGAGATAATTTGGAAATTTATTCATATCGTGTAAGGATTACAAAAGTACAGCTACACATATATTTGTTAATGTTGATACTGAAACCAAATCCAGTAATAGGTGTAAGTAGAGATGGAGCTGTTCATATACACATAGGTGCAGGGTACACATCAAGGCAAGCCTATGTACAACAGAATGAGAAACTGCCAATCCTGCACCAGTGTCACACTCTTTGTAATGTCTGAGCTCATCATTGTAGCCACTGTGTCAATCCATCTTGCTGATGGTCTTCTTCTTTTCTCTGACCCTCTAGTTTTCAGAGCATGATGTCCTTCTTCAGGGACTGGTCACGCCAGATCAGATTTCAAAGTACATGAGATGAAGTCTTGCTACCTTTGTGTCTGAGGAGCATTGTGGCTGTACTTCCAAGTCTGACTTCTTTGCTCTTCTGGAAGTCTATGATATAACCAATAGTCTTTGCTGACACCTTGATACAAATACATCAAATCTTCTTTGATCTCCTTTATCCATTGTCCAGCTTTCATACACATATGAGATGACTGAAAATGCCATGGCTTGTGTTAGCCATACTTTAGCAAAGTGACATCTTTGCTTTTGAACACTTCTAAGAGGACTTATTGCAGCAAATTTGCCCTGCAGTATGTCATTTGATTTCTTGACTGCTGTTTCCATGGGTGTTGACTAAGGAACCAAGTAAAAAGAAATCCTTGACAACTCCAATCTTTTCTCCAAATGTCATGATGCTGCTTATGGGGCCATTTTTCAGGATTTTGCTTTTCTTTATATTGAGGTGTAATCCATAATGAAGGATATTGTATTTGATTTTCATTAGTAAGAGCTTTATGTCATCTTTGCTTTCATCAAGCAAGGTAGTAGTGCTATTTCCATATTGCATATTGTTAATGAGTCTTCTTGATACCAAGTTTTTCCTCATCACATCCAGTTTCTCAGATTATTTGTTCAGCAAGCAAATTGAATAAGTAAGGTAAAAGGGTACAACCATGACCCACACTTTTTCTGACTTAAAACCATGCAGTATCCCCTAGTTGTGTTTGAATAAGTGCCTCTTGGTCTATGGACAGGTTCTAAGTGAGCACACTGAAGTATTCTATGGTTCCCAATATTTTCAATTTAATCCATAATTCATTATTTTCTACCCAGTTAAATGCCTTTACATAGTCAATAAAACTCTGGTAAACATGTTTCTGGTATTCTTTGCTTTCAGCAGCAAGATCCACGTGGCATTAGCAATGCTGTGACTCATTCCGCGTCCTCTTCTGAATCCAATTGAAAATCCAGAAGCTACCTGCTGATACACCGCTGCAATTGGTTTTGAATTATCTTCAACTAATTTTACTTGTGTGTGATATTCATGACATTGTAATCTGCTATTTCTAAATTTTGGAATCAGCTTTCCACGTTTCATAAAAAAATTATATCAAACCTTTTACTACAAAATATTGAATACGTTGATTAATTTGAGAAAACTAGCTTCTTTTCTGTGTTGGCCCTTCCTAAACATAACCTTATGTATCTGTTTACTTACTTCATTCTTTTTCTATTTTTCTGTAAAATTTTGCACTCACAGATATGATTCTATTTTCTGGGTCAAATAGGTGACCCACAGTTAAAACAATATTAAACTACTTTTATTAAAATTTTATTTCACTATTGCTCAAGACTACTGCAATTGGAATTTGTCTTATGTGACAATACTTCTAGAAGTTTTGCAAGAAATTAGACTACAATGTGTTTTCTTGGTTGAATTTCAAACAAAAGTCTATGAACTCCCTCGAATCTTACTTAACATTTCTGAGTATAGTAAAGTGTATTTTTCTGAAACAATTTGATAGGAACTCATGAAAAGTAAAAGATATTTTTTCAATTTCTTCCCGATACTTTACAAGCATGTTGGCAAATTTGAGTCAATATATAGAGTTTATTTTTTATAAAATTTATCTTTGAGTTTAGCAGTTTTGTGGCAAATTCTAGATCAGGTCACTATTGAAAGGAAGTAAGAAATGTAGTGTAATGTTTTTCACCAAATAATTTTTTTCCTTTTAGAGAAGGACATTCCAGGACCGGGCTATGCGAGTGTATGAAAAGCCTGCTTAGAAAAGAAAGAGATTCTATACAAAGAGCTACAAAGTGGTGAAATGGATCAAATGAAGAAGAATCACTGGATACAGTTTGTTCCTAAAGGGTGCTGCCATGAAATGAAGTGATAGATAATATAAATGAAGGGCAGAAATGATGAGAACCACTGGCTTAGACTAGAAAGCAAACTGAGAAATAAGGTAAATTACAGGAAATTATGATTGAAATTTATGCAATGAGGAAATGCTTTCCCCAAAATGTTATGTGTGCTGCTCTTTCTTTTACTTCCCTCTTTTTTTTTTTTTGTTTTCAGAAATGTTCTGCTGGTGCGTTCTGAGATTGTCATCCAAGGATTGAGCATTTAAAATATTCAGCCAATTGACGTTTAATGATGTTAGTGAACTCTCAGGATTTAACACAGTGCCATGCCTCGGAAGGAAGGTTGGGTAATCTACTTCTGTAGTGACACTGCCTCAGAAACCCACGGAGGGGTCGCAATGAGTTAAGTATGACTCAACGGCACATAACAACAACAACAACAGTCCTTGGAAGGGCAAAGAACGTATAGTACCCTTCTTGCCTTTGAGAGGAGTCCTTGTGGGTCAGTGTTTAAAGCATTCAGCTGCTAACTAAAAAGTTGGCTGTTTGAAGCCACCAGGTGCTCATGGGAGCAAGATGCAACAGTCTGCTTCATAAAAGTTTACTGCCTTGGAATGTGATGAGGAAGTTCTCCTCTGCCTTACTGGGTCATTTTGAGTTGGAACTGACTGGATGACAATGAGTTTTGGTTGCCTGCCTTTGAAGAACTGATATTACCTCCTTGCTGTTTTATACATGTCACAAGTATTTCATTACTAATGTCTAATATTGAAATGGCATATCAAAATTTACCTGGAAATGAATGTTTTGTGTTTTACATATTCATCTTATCGCTCATGGTAAATGTTCACTTGGAATTTTTCACAATTGCAGTTAATTATTTGGTCATTTATTGTTGTTATTTGTCTGGTCTAATTAACTACATTCTGTGCATGGATAGAGATGATATATATTATGTTTATTGCTGTGCTCCTTACACAGAGTGGAGGGAGTGAATCATTGAGATTTTGTATAAGTATTAAAAAAAAAAAAAAACCTTAATGCCATGATGCTGAAAATAAATCAATAATTATAAAAATTCTAGTCTTTTAACCTCTCTCACTAAATTACCTACCTCTCAGAAACCATGGGACATGAAAACATTACAGAATTTATCCTCTTGGGGCTTTTTAGTGATCAAGATGCAAAAACTGCCTGCTTCGTGCTGTTCTCTCTTTGCTATCTTGCCATTCTCTCAGGAAATCTGCTCATTCTTCTGACCATCAAGGGCAGCCATCTCAGGGAGCAGCCCATGTACTTTTTCCTAAGCTACCTGTCCTTCATGGATGTCTGTTTTACCTCCACTGTGGCCCCTAAACTCATCACAGACTTGCTGATCCAGCAGAAGACCATCTCCTACAACAGTTGCATGGCCCAGATGTTTTATGCCCACTTCTTTGGCGCCACTGAGATTTTCATTTTGGTGGCCATGGCCTATGACCGCTACGCAGCCATCTGCAGACCTCTTCAATACATGGTCATAATGAGCAGACAGGTGTGCTATGTTCTGGTGATGGCCTCTGTAACTGGAGCATTTATCCATTCCATCCTCCATGTACTGATTATCATGGAACTTCCTTTCTGTGGTCCTAATCAGATAGACCATTATTTCTGTGATGTTTTCCCTTTGCTAAAGTTGGCCTGTACTGACACTAGGCTGTTAGAAATTGTAATCATCACCACCACAGGAACAATGTCCATTTTGACCTTTGTTGCCTTGGTGATTTCTTACATCATAATCTTGTCCACCCTGAGGACCCGCTCTTCTGAGGGCCGCCGCAAAGCGCTCTCCACCTGCGGTTCACACATCACTGTGGTGTTCATGTTCTTCTTACCCCTCATCTTCACCTATGTTCCCACAGCTGATTCTGTCAGTGATGGCAAGGTGTTTGCCCTATTTTACACTATGATTGCTCCCATGTTCAATCCTTTCATCTACACACTGAGAAACACAGACATGAAGAATGCCATGAGGAAAGTATGGTGCCGAGACAAACTGTCTGAAGGGAAATGATACCTTTATATTGAGCCTTTTGCCTAATCTTGTTCTTGCTACCACGTCATTAATGTTGACCAATACAGCGTGTAATCAGACCAATAAGCCTCAGATGTATTTTCATGGTTTTCCATAATGAAATAAATTAATTTCTTCATCTGGAAAATGAGAAAGGCTGCTACTTATTTTAGTCAGTGAAGGTTTCAATCAAAGTCACATCTTCCCATTTATGACAGTATGGTTATAAAGCTGTTACAAAACATGAAAATGTTGTGATAATAACTATATGGAATAAAATCCTATTGCTGATCTGCCTTGTCCCACCAAACTGTGGAAAATCTGAGTTTTCATCAGTCTTAGAAGGTAAGTTCCCTCCAAGGACCCAAGAGAAGACTCTCTGAGCACATATGGTAGAGGCTAACTTTGAGAAAGCTTTGTAAACAGGGGTAAGCTTATAAAGCCACCAGCGGATGCTTCAGTACTTTTTCATGTTCCCCTATTCAGCCTTTGGCAGTCATGAACCTGGCAAATTATATCTCCTTAGGGAATTAGCATATGCAATATCAATGCTTATTTCCCAATCTGCAAATATTTATTGCAAAGGAATAAAGGAAAAAGTATTGTGAAAAAAATAATATAAAGTAGATAACACTTACTTATTCCACAAATTCTCACTGCTGTCAAGTTGTTCCCGACTCACAGTGACCCCTCTTTGGGTTTCCGAGGCAGTATCTCTAAGGAAGTATATAGCCTAGTCTTCCTTCTGAGGTTGTCTAAATTCAGTTACATTTTAGCTCCCTTGGTGGTGTTTATGAGAGTAGATGGGGAAATATATGCAAAAGTAAGCTTTTCGGAATCATTGCCTTACACATTTCTTCACCCCTAATAACATCAAATATCACCTAGTCCCATTGTTTCCAAATTCAAATTCCCTGACTACATAAATTTACCAGAGGTTGTTGTTTAAGGTGTAGATTTTTACATACTACTTAACCCTGGCCTACTGAATAAGTATCTCTTGGAATAGATTCTGTTTTCTGTTTGAAAATCTCTCAAGGTGATTTCAATGAACAGACATACTTGAGAAGCACCCATCTAGTACTCACGTTAAAATTGAGGAAATCAAGACCTGTAGAGACCCAGTGAGTATATGTCCAATCTGCAACAATCACCATGGACTTACTTGGTCCCAGGACAAGGGTTTCTGGATTATAAATTCTAACTCAGATGTCCTGTTGGTTTTTGACCTTTCCTCTCTTTAATTGTGTGATTGCTTCCAGAACAGCAAGCATTTTTAAGCACTAACTATATACAGTCTTAATGTGAGACACATTTGTACACACACACATACACACACACACACATCCTCTGGAACCATAAACAGGCATAAGGGATACACATAATATACTTCTTAATACCTGGATAATCTGAATTGCAGAATGGACATGAAACAAGAGATAATCAGTGATATGTCCCCCTGCAACAGAAAAAAATTCCAGGTTGCATCCCAAGGTAGAGCAGAATGGTAATACCAAGACATAAGCAAGACATATTTTTACCACAGTGAGTCTCTGTGGAATCATGGATGGATATCTGGTTAGTCAAGCCAAGGAAGTAGTGGAAAATGACCGACACCATTTAGTAAAATTGTATGGCCAAACATGGAGGAAATAGTAAATAATAAAAATAGTGTTTACCCTCTAGATTCAATCACTGTCATCTATCAAAAAGTAACTTTGTTTTCATCCCATTTTTTTCAGCTTTTTCTGGTAGTCATTTCACATGAACAGGGTCTTCAGGTATAGGTAAGAGTCACTCAACATCAGCATACTCATAGGATATTATAATTAAAAGATGGTCAAGGTCAAACATTCTTATCATTTGGACAAAGGAAATGAGACCTATAGAAAAGAAACACTTTTTTTTTTTGTTCCCAAAACAAGAGGATGAGAACATGTCTTTTGTCTTTTAAGCTTTTTTTTTTTTTTAATTATCTGCATACTTCCCATCCCAATTCAAGTTTTCTGGGTTTAGTTTTCCTGTGAATCTATATTTTGGGGGGGACTTATAGATCCTTGCCAGTTTCCATGTACACACTTTGCCATTCAGCAAAGGATATTGAGTGCTTATTATGTAACAATCACAGTTCTAAACACAATAGGTAGACTTTCAATTTTAAAGAAAATAAGAAAGAATGAGGAGGAGGAAACAACGTTTATTTCTTCCAACAACTGTGCAAGGTTGGTATTACTGTCTTCATTGTACAGATGCATCAATCAAGACTAAAAAAAAAAGTAAATATACCCCCTTAATGTATCTTCACTTCAAGTTATTTCTCATTAGGCTCCCAGAAAATCTTTTTTTGCCACAGTTTCTTCATTGCATTTTTTACTTCTGCATTTCTCAGTGTATAAATCAGGGGATTTAACATGGGGGTGATAATGGTATAAAATACAGCCACCATCTTATCCTCAGCAAAAGTAGTATCAGGGCGCATGTACATGAAAGTACAGGGACCAAAAAACATGATGACGACAGCAACGTGGGAGCCACAAGTGGAGAGAGCTTTGCGCCTGCCTTCTGCTGACTGCTTTCTCAGGGACACCAGGATGACAGTGTAGGAGATTAATAAGATAACAAAGCCTCCCAGAGCAACAGTACCACTGTTGGCTGTCACAGCAATGCCAACAACATATGTGTCTGTGCAGGCCAGTTTCAGCATAGGGTGGACATCACAAAAGTAGTGATCAATCACATTGGGTCCACAAAAGGGGAGCTGGACCACCAAGGCCATCTGGATAATAGAGTGTAAAAACCCACCTACCCAGGCCCCCAGCATTATCTTATTGCATCTGTCCCGGTCCATGATGGTCATGTAGCGTAGGGGTTTACAGATGGCTACATACCGATCATAGGCCATTATGACAAGGATTAATATCTCAGTACAACCAAAGAAATGTGCCCCAAAGAGTTGTAAAACACACCCCACATAGGAGATAGTTTTACTCTTGGCTAATAGGTCAACAATCATCTTGGGAGCTATAATTGAAGAGTAACAAATGTCCACAAAAGACAAATAGTTGAGAAAAAAATACATAGGAGACTTGAAAAGATTGCCCACGTGCACTGTCAGCATGATCAGAAGGTTTCCCAGAAAACTAGCCATGTAGAAGAAAGAAAACAGCCCGAAACACACTTCTTCCACCTTTGGGTTCTGAGAAATACCCAAGAAAATGAACACAGTTACATTATTTATTTTTTCCATGGAATTTTTCCAGCAGGCCAACTTCTCAAGAGACAATTCTATTGTCTAAAAAAATAAATAAATAAACAGGACCAAAGCGTTATTTCTTTTTTAAAGCAAAGTGGATTATCACAGTATATGAATATGGAAAACAGGTACTTACTGCTGTTTGGATACATGGTTAGAGGAATTGAAGTGGATACATTCTGATCATCCTCCTTCATACAACAGTCCATTCATTCACTTCAGATCAGGGAACAGAGTCCAGAGATCAAACGAATCCCCTAAGTCAGCCCTCAAGCCAAGAATTAAAGCTCTCTTGTCATTTTTTAAGACTTAGTTATTTGTTTGTTTTTAAACATTTGCTTGGTTCTTATTTTGCATAGCACTAAAACTGACTTTGAATCAACTTCTGTGATTCGGTCCCTGGGTGGTGCCTTTGATTAACATGCTTAGCTGCCAACCAGGTGGTGGGAGGTTCAAGTCTCCCAGAAGAACGTTGGAAGAAAAGCCTGGAAATCTACTTTAAAAACAAAACAAAACAAAACAAAAAAATCAGCTGTTGAAAACCCTTAACTAATAAAAAATATCTGCCTTGAGCATAATGTTCTTTTAAGAACAATGGCATCAAATTGACTACAGCCACTCAAAAGATTAAATAGGAATTTTGGGTCAGTGAGTTTATGTCAATGTGGGAGGAATAACTCAGAAAAGGAGAGTGAGAACGGTTGCAAAATTCAAACACTGTAATCAATATTACTGAATTGGACATGGAAAAACTACTGGATTAATGTATGTTTTGTTGTGTGTATTCTCAACAACAAAATAAATCAAAACAAAACAAAACAATAAAACCCTATGGAGCACAGTTATATAATGACACCCACGATGTTACCATAAGTTGTAATCAACTTTATTGAAACAGGTTAGTCTGTTTTTGATGACATAGTAACATTTGCTTATCTTTCTTTCACATATTGTGTATATCTGTTTGACACAGGAATGAAGACCTACACCTACAATTTTCCTTCTGAATATGGACATGTCTATATATCACATTCACCAGTGTGCTCAAGTAGTAGATGCTGTGATCTCAGCAGGTTCTCCTACTTAAGAAACTTGGATCTTTATGTGCATATGGTTAAGCTCCCTACTTGACCTGAAGCTCTTTACAGTCAGGCTGTGATGTGGCATCTTAGAAAGAGGAGTAAAATAATACCACCCTGACTTTTAGATAACAGTGCTCTTGTTGCTGCTGTTGTTAGGTGCCCTTAAGGCAATTTTCAACTCTTGTGATACCTTGTGCTGAGTGTGTTCAAACTGAATACTGTTGTAACCTTGGATAACTTCCTTAAATGTTACAGTGCTTCTGTTTCCCTATTTGTGAAATGACAAAGTCCAATTTTCTATGCTGTCTATCATTCTAAGAGTTATTTCTACCATGAAATGAAATCATTCTGTCAGCTTAGAGGAGCACATGACTCACTTGTAGGGAGGAAAGCATAAGAGCAAATAAAGCAATAAAATAAACATACTGGACACAAAGCCAAACCTATTTGAAATGAGAAGAGGTAAAGTGAATTCTCAACTAATTTCACCTTCAAACTCAGAGTATTTGAGGATTTCCCAGGCTTTAATTTGCCTTGATATTTCAGTCATTCGTCTGTTGACCAGTAGGGGTGGGGAGTCCAGGGTGGGGGAATAACCTTGGCCTTTCATTTCACCACACCTTCATGTATTCTTCTAAACCTTCAACTTTCACAATAATTTATAT